ATCTATGTGCTGGAGCTCCTTTAGCATCTTTTTTTTATGGCTTGGCATCATGACTAGAACTCCTGCAGTGTTATCTGAGGTTTCACTGGATGGGTTCCTTGTGAAAGGAATGGAGTTTGTGTGGCAAATAGAATAAACAGTGGGTTGTTCTAAAAAGAAGTCAGTAGGGATTGCCACAGGATGGCTGATGAGACTATTGGGTAAGGCTGAAAATATTTCTCCATTTGTGTTGTTCTGCTCAAGTATCTGGACATCTTGATTAGAAACATTATGGAAATCCTCTGCTAAAAGTTGTCCTGGCAGAATTAAATAACCCTATAAAAAAATGCACATCCCAGTAGCAACATAAAGCCATAAACCACAGAACTGCTGCCAGTGCAGAGAAAAGCTCAGTGGGGACAACCTTCCCAGAAGTTGATGCTCTGCTTTGCTGACCGCTAAGCAAACAAAGCCCAGAGTTCACAAGCAGGCTAAGGACGTTTCCATCCCCAAAATAAAGATGGGGCTACATGTCCTTTCTGCATATTGGCACACAGGTCCTTGTGCTGCTCAGTGGAGCACTGTATCTGTCAGGCAGGAGCTGCTAGGGTGGATTTTCCTCTATGGGGATTGCCTCCTTGATTTGGTAGGGTTTGGCTGCTGGGGAGAAAACAGAGGGGTCACACAGGTTGCGGAGGTGTGACCTCTGGAGAGCATCCAGTCCAACCCTTGCTCGAGCAGGGTCAGCTGGAGCAGGTTGCCCAGGACCACGTCCAGATGGCTTTTGAGTGTCTCCAAGAATGGAGACTCCACAACCTCTCTGGGCAACCTGTGCCAGTGTTCACCCACCCTGGCAGTAGAATATTTTATTCTTATGATTAAAGAGAATTTCTATATTTCAATGTGTGTTCTGTCATGGGGCACCACTGAGAAGGGTCTGGCTCTGTCTCCTTCACTCCCTCCCATCAGGTACATATACACATGGATAAGATCCCCTCGAGCCATCTCTTCCCCAGGCTAACTAGTCCCAGCTCCCTCAGCAGAGGTGGTATGTGTTTTGTCCGAAATAAAACCATGCCCAACGGCACTACCTTTGAGGAGAAGATGGGCAGAAGCTGCTTCTTTGGCCAAGAGGCAAGGGAGAAGCTTTGCACACAGCTGTCCCCTTGCTTGCTGCTCAGGGCATGCCCCTCTGCATGTGAAGTCTCCCTGGGGACAGATCGTGCCTCTGGGATCTTGGCACAGCTGCAGGGTTAGCCGGGCAGAGAGAAAATACACTCTGGAGCCACTGGGGTTTTTGAGTCTTAGTTAATTAGAACTGTTCCTACGTTAAGCTTGGAAAGGTTGGGGGTGCTTGCACAGTGTTTGGGGTAGGAAGGCATGATGGGCATCAGGGCAGGGGTCTGTAGGAGTGATAGGGAGATACCACCTTTCATCCTTGCAGATGAGTGCTCACAGTTCCTCCATCTTAGCTGCTCACATAATATCTGATGTCTTAAGCAAATTTGTGCATCTGATGTCTTTCACGGCAGCACTGCCATGTTTGAACTGTGTCTTGCGTGGTCAGGATGTGTGCTAAGGTAAAAAACTCTCTGTCTTCCCATTCCCTGCTCCTCCTCTTCCTTCCCTCTCCCAGGCAGGACATTGGGCTGCGAGAGGGGTTGCCACAGCAATGGGCACTTTACCCTGAGAAGGTAAAAGGAGGCAGCATGAAGCTGCAGTAGCTAACGCTGCCTCACCTCTCCCCTCTCTGCAGTAACAACAACCCCTACGCCTCCTTTGGAGCCACACTGGCACGAGACGAGGAGCAGAACCTGTGGAGCACCCCACATGACGTGACCCACACAGAGGCGGATGACGACCGGGTGCTGTACAACATGATTGTGGTCAGGAACCAGCTGGACAAGGACTCAGAGGTGAGGCGGTGCCATTCCTCACACTCAGTTACACTGTGGACCAAGGCTTGGTACTTTTGCCAGATGCTTTGGCAGTGCCTTTATTTAGGCACCCATTAAGCTGCTAGAAGGACCCCCAAGATCCCCAGCGTGGCTCACGTAGGCATCAGGTCCTCCCATCTGCTCCATCACCCTTCAGATTTTATTCTATATCTGGTGTGGCTGCATCTGTAGCCATCTCGTCCCTGGGAAGCTCAGGGATGTCTCTGGCGGCAGAGCCGCCCTGAACTGGGGTGCATGATGTCCCACAAGCACCTCTACCACCACCACCTGCAAACGTGTAGCACTGGGACCCCCAGTGCAATTTCCTAGCTTCAAATGCTGTTTTGGTTTTTTTTTTATCCCTGATTTGACCTTTCTGTGATCAGACTGGCATTAGCCCTGCCTGCAGTGGCTTTTCCCTGGCAATGGCAGCACCTGAAGCTGAGCTGCCGAGCTGCCGCTCCAGTGACACGTCAAGTTAAATACTCCTCTAATGGGCTGTACGGCAATTACCAAGAAGCGGAGAACTGGCACAGCTCTTAGCACAGAAGGGAAAAATCATTGCTGTTACATAAAGGCTGTTTCGCAGCCCTGATTTCCTTTGCTAAAGCACTTCTACGCAAAGGAGATTTCAGTAGCCTGATTAGGAGTAGGCTGTAGCAAATAGTGACACATTTTCCCCTCTCTGATTGCTTTTAAGACTTCAAAATGTTTACAGGAAAGCCTGGAGGCTTCACATTTAATTTCAACATGATCCCATTTCATCCAAGAGACTGCAAGACTATAACTCTTCCTCCTGTGATAGTCCCTTTAAACCACAAACTAGCTCAGCTTTCATGGGAAGCCTTAAACTCCAGAGGTACAGCTGAGATCAAAATTACAATTTTTAGAATTTAAAATGAGATAATGCAATCCTAATGTATCCTTGTTGGACAGAATCCCCATTTAATTGTGGGGTTTTTTTTTAGTGGGGATTGAATTAATCAGGGTGTTTGCAATGGATGGGTTTGTAACAACATTTTCAGGGCTGCATGTAACCTTTACAGCTGTGGCAGCTGTTGCAGCTGTAACTGAAGATACCCTCTTCCCTCCCCACCACTGCTTCCTCTATCTTGTGATTGCTTGTCTTAGAGAAGACAGGGAGCTTCATCCAGCCCAAATTGGCTGAAGGAAATGAGGACAACCCTGTTTAGGGGGCTGCGCCTGTCCTGGGCTCTTCAGAGCTAGGTGTACTTCACAGCATAATGAGCTTATAACGAGCCCTTTCTTTGGTGGAAGCTCATAATTTTAGCCAGCATCCAGTCAAGTGGCCTTTTAACTTGATTTAGGGCTCCCTATGAGGCAGACCTCCTAAAGGCTATTATTATTTATAAAAGAGTATCATAAATGGATGGGATGCCAAAAGATGGCTCCTTGGGCAAGGGAGCGTCATCCTTGCTCAGGTTGCAGAGGAGAGCATCAGTGATGGGTGAGCAAGAGAGCGCTCCTGCACCTGCTTCTCCTAAATCCAGTGTGCCCGCTTGCCCTAAATCCAGTGTGCCCGCTCGCCCTAAACCCAATGTGCCTGCTCGCCCTAAATCCAGTGCTTTCTCTCTGCCTTCAGCATGCCTGTAGGGTATTTAGCAGGTCTCTGCAATCACCATGCCTGCCAGTGAAAAAAGGAAAGTATGGGGCATGGGGCTTCTTCTCCACAATGAATGTAAGATCACATACCCTAGGGGTTTTTTTTAGGCAGTGCAATTAATAAAAAAGCCCGAGGAGTACAACATCAGGCTGACTTTGCAGAAAGCCAACGCACGATACTCTTGATTTGAATTATGGCAGAGTGCCCTTTGCAGCTATTGATTTCCAGCCTCCCTGCTGCCTCTCTTTTACAGCTAGGGAAACTGAGGCACGGCATGTAAGCCTGGCCAGCTGCTGCAGTTTCCAGCTGCAGCTCCTTCTGGGTGGCAGGACAGGGAGGGACTTGGCCGGCAAAGCCAACATTCCTGCATTCGGCCCTGGGTGCCGAAATCTCTTCTTACTCCAGTGAGTGTTTAAAACTAGGCCAGATTGCATTGCCCTCCCCTCCTAATGAGACTTCAGCCCTGAGAGAGAGAAAAAAAAGTGCAACTGCAAAAAAGCACTGGGCTGCAAAAGCCATAATCTGCTTTGGGAGCTGCTCTGCTTCCAAAGTCCCTGGGGAGAGCGTGCGGATGCTGTAGCACGGGGGACAGAGGAACGTTTTCTTGTTTATGCAGCGGACAAGTGTTACGAGACCGTAAGTCCTTTTTTTCTCTTGGTTACAACTGGACAGAAGGAGAACTATTCCCTGTATCTCTACTCCTTCATTTAGCAAAGAAATTTTGGCGTGCTGTGCATTTACTGTCTGCTTTGCCATTCCCACCTTTGTCTTCTTGATTTCCTAGCACAGGACTTCGGAAGGACCCAAAGAGCAGGTCGCTCTACGTCATGTGTGCTTTATCTGTATGGCATCTCTGCCTCAATCCAGTATCGCGTTTTTCTTCATCTGCCTAACCCACTTCTGCTTTCCTAGGTATTTTCTTTGTTTTTTAAATGGTTGTTCACATAGTGATGAGGTGCTGTGAGCTAGGACAGGAGAAGTGGTGGGCCAGGATGCAGTGGTGACATCAGGACGGTGCTGGAGGTCAGTGGGCATGGTCCGTGATGACTCTCTTCTGGCCTGGTCACCTCTGCGCCATGGATCGCTGTGGATAAATAAACCAAACTGTATGCGAAGGGCCAGACGCTCTGACACCAAATGCACCCTGTAGCTCAGTCAATTTTCTGCATGTTAGATCATTCGTGGTGAAGCTGCCGGCAACTCACAGTGTTGGTGTCCTCCCTCAGGGTCAGTCCCTTGCTCCCGCCATGGGGCTAGACCCACACCCAATCCCTGCGGAGCCATTTCTTCTCCCTGCCCCCTCCCAATTGCCCTGCTCTGGGAAATTTGGCAGCACCAGCCCAAACTTGGTGTGACCTTAGCTTGCGTAAGGATGGCAGGGCTGCTCCACCCTGCTCCTCGCTGAACCAGGGCAGCAAGCTCTTCAAAGCAGGCACTGGGACATCCCGGGTGCGCCCTGTTTCACTCCCACTTGCTCGTCCTGCTCAGTGCTGTGTTCTGGGAGTGATGGCTCAGGGGGCCCTTGGCCGTGGCGGAGCTCGCTGGAGCACCCAGCAGTTGCAAAACCCACCGTGCAATAGGTAGATGAGGCACAATTCGCTGGAGCCTCCTAAAACTGTGAGGACTGAGCAACTTGCACCTCTGCATTTCTCTCTGCTTGGGACCGATGAGCATGGTGTGCTTGGATGCACTTTTGGAAGTGAAAGAGGAGGGTGTGCTCAGAGAAAACCAGAAAAGCCGTAGCTGAAGGGCTGGCTTAAGGGGGCTGGTAAAGCCGATGCAGCCTTTGGAGATCAAAGCTGTCGGCAAAGCTTTTGAAGGCTGGGGTCAACTTTTCAAATATGGAAAAAAATGATTCTTTTCCTGCTCCTGCCCTGCAGCATCATCGAACCTGTTGTGGCATAAAGTAAAACCCCAAATCTGGAGGTGAAGTGAGGACCTCTAGGAAAACAGGATGTTATTTAAGGTGCTGCATAGATACAGGCCAAGTCACTGTTCCAGCACGTACCCTGCTAATGCGGAGAAAAGCGGAAGGGGAAGGGGGACCACTGTGCCTCCAATGTTAACAGCAAGCGCTGGGCTTATTTGGCTTATGTACATGCTGTGGCAGATGCCCCTCTCCTCGAGGACCAGTTTGTGGTGGCCCTGGCGCCTCAGTGTCCTCTGATGGGGGGCATGGAGTTACCCAGCCATGGGCAGAGAGCCTGAGCTGTTGCACCAATACTGGCTTCAGAGAAGGAGCCAGGTTTAGGGCAGCTGCGCCATGGCTCTGTGAACAGAAACTAAAGGTGGGTTTTTGCATTGTGACTGAGGAAAACCCACTGTTCTTATGGCTCGTTGTAAATGCAGTGTTTCTTATTCCCTTGGGGAAGGTGGGGTCCTAAACTCTACTAGCAAAGGCAATTCCTCAGCCTGCATCTCTGCTGAGGGCCTGGCTAGCAGAGCTGCGCTGGCATGATCCTCCTGGCAAGCCCATTAGCGAGCTGACAAGGCCTATTTTTCTGCTTCCTCCTGCTCTCCTACAGGATTATTCTTTTTTAAACACGTTACAGAGAAGGTCGGTATTGTGACATACTGTTGCTGGGGCATAGAGAGGTGATGGGATTTTGCTCAGGGTTGGGGATTGTGGTCGGGGAGCCCAGAACTGTCCCACTTAATACATATGGAAAATTATTTCTGAACTCTTGCATGCTTCTCTTAAAACTGAATCCAATTTAAACTTATTCTAAGATGAGATGTTAGATGCTGGTTCAATGTGTGTGTGTGCATCTAGAGTTTGTATTTGCTCCGCTGCTTCCAGTGCGGCCAGTCACTGAGCCAGAGTGGGAGCATCCCTGGATGTGATGTGGTACCTGCCTGTACTGGTATTTTGCAGTCTTTCCCTGATAACTCTGTTTTGACCTCATTTCCAAAATAACTCTTGAACAGAACGGTGACACCAATTGCTTTCAAGGGAATAAAGGAGAAGGTTTTGGTAGATGATTGCTTTGGCAAGATGAGGGAAGCTACCTACTAATTAGGAAATTTCCATATGAGCAGGGATGAAAAGTTGGAGAGTGCTTGCCTGTTCTCTTGGCATATTTTTTCCCAGAGCTCTCAGTTAGGTACCAGCCTGGCTTATATTTCATGCCCAGCATTTCCTCACTTCCATTTGGCATTTGCAGATTTAGCATAGCACAGTAGAGAGTCCAGGGAGGTATTCTAGGTAAATAGTTGAAGGGCTGAGCACTCAGAGGAGAGAGGCAGCAGGGTTTCCCTGCTGCTCCCGGGATATTCTTGACTCATGCATAAAGGGTTTTCTCAAGCTCCCCCAGTATGTTGTGCCTTGCTGCGTAGGTTTAAAAGGGCAAAACTGATTGCATAAAAAAGGGCTGGGAACTGCAACCTGATTTGGTTTCCTGTGATTAATTCAGATTTTGGCAAAAGGGTATTTTTCTTAAAGGATTGATTTTGAATGCATCACTGGGATGTCCCAGACCTGTGGAAACAACAAGGGGTTTGGTGAACAGCAGACTCCTGCTGTACTTCCTCAGTACTGTGTGCGAGAAGGCTCCTCACCACTCCAGCAGTTACATCGAACTTTGCAAGAGAGAACAGGGAGTGGAGGTGCACAGAAGATGCAAAAAGAAGCTAAGTTTGGGAGCGAGCTGCTTGTCCCAATGCCTGCATACGGGCTCGGACACCTCACAGGAAGGGGGTCCAGTGGGGAGCCAGCCCAGGGTGAAGCGCAGAGGGCAGCCTGTTCTGGCCTCGCTCTGCCCAGGACTGCCCAAGGACTGGCGTGCCCCGTCCTGTGGCTGGCTGGTGCCCAGGTATGCTGCAGTGGTCCCTATCAGAGCAGCAACAAGGGCTGAGGGAGAGCGGGGTTTGGCGCGGAGTCCCGGCTGCCTGCCCTGGGGCTGCCCGGCAGCGGGTGCTGAGCCTCGTGATGCTGCCCTGCTCCCTCCACGGGTCACATCTTGGTGACTCATGGGATGCACATGGGGAACACCCTCCCCAAAGTCTCTGATGTTGCCCATTCCTATGCAGAGACACAGGCAGGACTAGCTTTGCTCTTCCTCTGCCGTGTAGTTAAAGGGAGATGCTTTTTAGATTAATTTCTGGGATGGAAGGTTGCTCTGAACTTTATTTCCCTAATTAACGCAACACAGAGGACAACCCCCTGCCCACAGCATTTAGGATGTCTCTGCTACAAGGAATCGCTGGGGAAAACTTGGTGTTTTCAGAGGCTTATAGAGAACAGGGCATGAGTCCCTTCAAGAGCTCAGCCTGGAGCTGCTCATCCTCACCCTGATAACCTCTAGTCTCTAGTTTCTTTTCAATGATTGGCACCACGTGCAGCATCCTCCTCCCAGATTTCTCTGGAGAAACATAAACACATCCAGCTCCACGCTCAGGCAAAAGAAATATCACTAAAACAAGAGGTCCCCCCCTGGCACCACTGTTAAGCATAATTTTCTGTACCAAAGCTGCTCCTTTGCACACCGCCTGAATTCTTCAACAACAGGGCACTGTTAGATGTCCTCTGGGATTAAATATGTACTGCATTCACTTCCATAATGCAACTCAGTAACTATGAGATACAAGAAAGCCGTAACCTAGATTCCCTTAAAACAAAAATAGACAAGGGAAAACACGCTGGTGTTAATCCAGAGAAAATCAGGAGCAGCTTCCCTGCGCGCTAAGCGCTGCTCGCCATTTAGCTTAGCAAGGAGTCTGGCTCGCTACCACAGGGGTAAATCCCCGCAGCCCTGGGAGCTGCTGCCAAGTGCCAGCAAGCCACGTTTTGGGGAGAGGAGCATCTTTCCCACCCCACTGGCTTGCTAATTCAGGAGTGTGAAGCACATCTGGAATCACAGTGGCTGTGTTGATCGATTATGTGCCTTAAAGCACTTGTTTATCTCCACAGGAGGGCAGAGACACGCAGCTTATTTCCCCACCAGTGTGCCCAGACTGATTTGCTCTCCTTTCTGCTTATACCATGGGGTCACGAGCAGGCTGAGAGGTTTCCGAGGGATCCCTGCCAGCAGGGACCAAGGCATCATGCAGCCTTTATTCTCTTTGTTTAAAACTCTCAAGGTTGCAATAAACTTCCCACAAAGCTTCATTTAATTCAAATTCAAATAATATGCTATAATATGCTTCATTTCTTTTTCACTGTGTTGTGGTTTGGGCCGGACTTGCCACTGAAACGAACTCAGTTCCTAGCTACAAGCTGTTGTCACAAGGGAGAGTAGTTTTGTCCCTGCCTCCCTTTTCGAGCGAAGGGCTGAAGAGGCGATTTGATGCCTTGCGCTGGCAGCCAGGTGCCCTCCTGTGCCAACAGTAAAACTGCAGGCAAGAGAGAAAGGGAGCTCTAAGCGGCAAAGCTAGCTTCTTGCAAGCAGCAACACAAAGCTAAAAAGGAAGGGGATTTTGCTCTCTGGGAGGATGA